AAAAAGATGACTCCCCACGTCCCCTGGCTCAAACCCAGTACAAAAGTGACTATTTACAATGAAGGAGTGGGGAGTGGGGAGGGCCACGGGGAAGAGGGGGGCCCCTGCCCAGTGACCTCGCCACTTGGGGGAGGCCACGCCCCTGGCCCCGCCTTTTAAAGGGACAAAGCCAAACAGCATTGATATTTATAGAGGTTCTCATTTCCCCCATATTGGGGGAGGGGCGAACCGTATGGGTGAGGGGTGGGGTATGGGATGGGGTGAGGGTGGGAAGGCATGGGAGGTGGGAGGAGATGGAGGGAAGGTAGCTACTGCCCCTCGCCTCCCCCCTCCTCCTCCTCGCCGGACACACAGTTTTCCGTGGGATGAACACAGAAAGGGTTAATCAAAAAGAGTTCGATGAGCGAGTCTGAGACTGTCGAGTGGGGCGGGCAGGCTGGAGCAATGAGGCCGAAGGTCCCGGTGGCCGGTGGTGATGGAGTCACTTAGAAGATGAGAGGTTGTGGTTTTGGGGGGTGGGGTGGGGTGGAGAAGGAAGTAGGGGAGGGGGGTTAGGCGGTTCCCCCCTAATTATCTCTGGGAGACAAGTGTCCTGGACTTGCTGAGAAGGAGTTAAAAACCAGCAGCCTTCATCACCCCCCACCCCACAGAGACTTTTCCCATCTCCCTCCCGACCACCAACACTCCCTATCTCGACAGACTGGCGACACCAACCAACAGCAGAGCGCCATAAACAGAGCCCCCTAGCCGCAGGTATCGAGACAGCTGACTCAAGTGGAGTGGGATCGCGATGGCAGAGCTGGGTGTCGAGACTTCACCAGAGCGTAGAACCAGAGTCCCCGGCCCGCCGGGCCCAACCACCACCTGGCTCCTTTCTTAAATAAGATCCTGAGCTCACTGCTTCTCTATAAAACCAAAGAAACCCAGACTCACTGCCACTGAATTGGTTCCAACTCATAGTGACCCCCCAGTGGGTTTCTGAGACTGTAAATCTTTATGGAAGTAGATTGCTCCATCTCCCTTCCACAAGCTGCTGGTGGATTTGAACCACCAAACTTCTGGTTAGCAGTCAAATGCCTTAGGCACCATACCACCGGAGTTCCTGCTTTCCTATAGCACTCTCAAATAGATGCTAGCTTTTCCTCCCACTTCCTCATACTTTTAAGTCACAGAGAGATGAGATCAGCTGCCTTCTCACTCCCTAATACCACTTCAAAACTATTATTCTTTACCCTTGAGCAAAAATCCTTGTCCCTTGGACTTTCTTGCCACCCAGCTC